TTCCTCTTCTTGGGCTGCAGGACGTATACATGTGAAAGGTGGCTACGGTAGATACAGGGCGTAATATAGGGGCCTCAGAAGTTAGAGTAGGGCTTTCGGGCAAGGAACCCCCAAAGTAGCGCAGGTAATTATTAAGGCCCCTATGTAATCTTATACAAGGTGAAACGCTCACTGCAGGGCCCAGCACCGCTCTCCGCCATCGCAGGCACCCCCTGATATCACGAACCAACCTAACCCTGGACCCTTGCACCGACCGCTGCCTGGCAAAAATGAGGAAAGCGATTCCCTGCCCTTCGCTTCACCTCCGAGCGGCGGGGACATGGGGGAGCCGTCTTTCGCCTTCGGGCTCTGCGAGCTGGCGGATGGCGGCAGGTCCTGCAAAGGAGCTCAGGAGCTCAGGAGTTCAGGGTTTAGGGTTCAGGGTTCAGGGGCTTCCGGCAAGGTGCTTGCTCTGCAACTTGGAGCTGAAGACCTCTTGAGGCAAGGCTTCGAAAGGAACTCAGTGCTGAGCTTGCTTGCGATGATACCCAGTTATTGTCACAACTGGTTTCGGGGTGACAAGATGGGAGCTTCCGAAAAATTGGGGGGGGGGTACCTTATTTGGGGGCCCTTACAGTAAGGATCCTACCATTTGGGGTGCTATATTTTGCGCACCTTTGTCGTGATGAAAGCTCCAGGCTCTCTCGCTGCTCCGGATGATTCCCAAAGCGTCAGACTCAGGACTTTCCCTTGGATTCGACTCTGCCAGGCCGCTGGGAGTTTGAAACGGAAACTTCCGAAACTTGCCTTATTTATTTGTGAAAAAAATATACATATGTATATATATATATATATATATGTATATATATATATATATATATATGTAAAGCCATGATTCAGGTAACCCTGAACCCTGCACCCTGCATAAAATCTCCGGGTCCAGCGCATTTGGCTCGGTGAAGCGCTGCAGGCGACAGTGCTTCCGATACCTTTTTCTAAGTCTTGTTAAAAGCTTTCTTGAAGCCATTTACCATCTCAGCATAACTGTCGAAGAGGGCGAGGCTGCCCCCGGTCCCTTAAGTTTAGGGACTGCAGAGCTTCCAATCGCAACGGCCCTGGAAAAGCTAGAGCAACCAAAGTCATGGAGGCCAAAAAAGCCTTTAAGCATCCTTGCCTAGTCGAGCCCACGGCCTCAGTCGCACCTTCACGGTTACCCTTCACAAAGCCAGCAGCGGAGGCTGGAGACCCAGTGACAACAGTGGACCCGGGTATCCTAGCAGAAACTTGGCCGATGTGTCCTCCTTGTTAGCTTTGGGGCTTCATGCCTTCAATGATAGAACTGGTCTGACCAGCAAACAATTAGGGAATCAAGCGGGTTTAAGCCCTTGGTCAACCAAGCTGCTGGTCTGCCTCACTCACGATGGCGAAGGGTCTCCTCTCCTCGGCAGACGGTCGGATGTCACTGATGTTTGACCTTGCTACAAGTATCAATACGCAGCACATATTCTGAGGTGGCCTGCTTCCGAAAAGATGGCTTCAAGGCTTAAGGGCCCAGGCAGCCCAAGGGTCTTTCAGTGGTCTACGTGGGCATTTGCCGCAACTATGCCAAGCCAGAGGGCTTGAAGCGCAGAGGCAGGATGGAATCCCACGATGTCCAGATAAAGGTCCTGAGGCAACGGCAAGATCTGATGATTGACTCTCTTGCATGCAGCATGGCGAAGTATGGGGCCTTGCTTCTCTTGGAGCGTGTGAACAAGAACATCAAAGGTGCTTGTCCACATCTGTGACTTTCAAAGCTCCCAGCCCTTGCAAAAGGCATTGCAACACATCTCGGCTTTTGGTGTCCCTACGATTACGAGTAGGACACGGCTCAAGCCCTCCGTCATGCGTGTCTCGAGCTCCTTCCGTGTGAAGGCCTCTGCATTCGTGTACGTGAGGGCACCTCGGGCGAACCACAGCATGAGCATCCGATTTTCGCTGCTCTGCACAGCTTGCCACGGCACCTTGTGGAACAGCCACGGCTCCTTCCGTCAGTCGAAAAATGGCAGAGGAGAGCTGTGCTATCGGTTGGTTCGACTTTTTGGGTCTTGGCTGGCCGTTGCGGGCATGGCATGCATAGCCAAAGGCACCACGAGGACAGACGAAGACTCTGACGCCAGAACCGAAGACAAAACTGCTGACGGCTGGAATCGACACGCAACCGCGTGCTAAACCCGGAAACCAACGATCCAGAGCCACAACCCCGCGCCACGAAACCCGCAACCCCTAAACCCCAAAAGCTCCGGCAGTGCGTAGCGACGTCACGCTGCCCGCCCAGGTGCGGACACGCTCCAGCTTGGGCTTCGACCGCCTGATCAGCGTCTGAAGGTTTCGGGCTGAAGACGTTTAGGGGGCTCTAGGTTGGGCTCAGTTTTTTTGTTGAACCCTCGTGTCTTTTAGCCACTGCCTCCAGACTACCAGGCTGAGGGATGGGAAAACGAAGCAAGCATTCATGTACTCGTAGGGGATTACCAGTTTAGGGCTTAAGGGATCTCGGGATGCAGGACGGTCTGCTGTTGGCTGAAAGCTACGTTGGGGCGAAGAATCTCGACAACCTCAGGCTTTGCAAGGCATCTTCGAAGCTCGGTCCCAAAAGAACCTTGGTGCCTGCCCAAGACCGCGAGTGTCAACCCAGTTTCGAGATCCGGAAGCGAGTCCCAAATCCAACATGCTGCACCATGCCCAATTCTCACACTAACCGACAGCCCAAAATCGCGAAGCAACAGGAAATGCGCCATGGGAGCGGAAAGAGCAGGACAGTTGCTAGTTGTGATCAAACAGTGTATTCTCGTTGAAGCACGACTGCAGCTAGCACCGCCTAGCTGTGCTCATTGATTCATGGGTGCGCTGAACGCCAAATCCTCCATCTTTCGCCCTGCCAAAACCTCAACCCTAAACTTTAAACCCAACACCCAAACCTCAGAATTAACCCAAGCTCAAAATTAGCCCTGCACACTAAACCCCGAAACCCGTAAACCTCGAACCCCAAGCCACAAACTCCGAACCCTGAATCCTAGCCCTAGCCCACCTTTCTTCGGCTGAGACCCCGGCTCGGAGAGGCTCGCGCCATGCGTGTGCGGCCGGGGCTGTGCAGAGGCATCGTCGGGCGTGGAGGCCCTGAAACTAAGGAGCTCGACGGATCTAGGGAATCTCGGGGTGTGGGAGTCTGGGCATCGTCTGTCCTCAAAGCCTTCTCGGGTTTGGGGCTCGGTGGGGCTCTTTCAGGTAGCAAGTTGTAAGCTTGGCGTTGCTGTTTTTCGGGTCTTGCGCGGTCACGGCCAAGCAACACACTGAGACTGCCGGGTGCGATGAGGAAGAGCTTGCAAGTCCACCAATGGCCGTAGAATTGAGGGTCCGACGTTAGAAGTACGAACCCACTTAAGTACCTCCGAAAACACGGCCCTCTTTGAGCATTCCAATCCTGACATAAAACAGTCACCCCCTGGTCTCTAGACCCAGCCCTCTGGAGCCGTCCAAGTTCTGCAGTAAGTCTCTTGTGTCAGACGAACATTCCGGAAACCTGGCCCAAGGTACCGCGCCTCATGGTGGAGCCGCAGCGCGGGCAGAACATGCGAGGTGCCTCCTTGGGTTCCTTGGGCTCCATGCCGAACATCCTGCGAAGTCTCCGACCAAGCATGAAAACACGGCTGCCGCTCTCTTCCAAAGTGTTCCAAGTACTTACTTTTTTCTGCTACTGTGCATCATTCCAGGGACTGCTGCTTGGGGGCATTGAGCGTTCAAGGGTTTATGAAGCAGGTTCGAGAGAGAGTGATCGAGCTCTAGTAATGCAACATCGGCTCAATAAGGTTTGTCGGGTCCTGTGTTCCAGGGATACTTATGTTTATGACCGTTTGCTTGGCTTCGCACTTCACCAAACTACTTGTTGGTGCTTCTGGGAATGCTAAATAGTAGGACACCCCTAATTTTCGGAAACTCCCACCTGATGTCAATCAGTCCGTTCTCCACCAGGGCATTCACCTGCTCCTCCCGGGCTCAGATGCTAAGTCTGGGGCATCATCAGAAGGGGTGGCAGTTCTGAACGCCTGTGACATAAGAACCCCTCCCTTTCGCCCCAAGCACATGACATGACCGACAAGCCGATGCCTGGAGGAACGTTTACTGCCTTCATTGCCAGCTACATCACACGCGTCCCGCTGCTTACATGCCATCTTGACACTCCTTCGTCAGCGGCGGGCCGTCGTAGATGCCAAGGATGCGCTCCTCGTTCGCCGGCAGGGTCCACGAAAACAGCGTCCCAACACGCTGGTAAATACAACCCTATGAACCCTCCTTAAGGGCCAAGAAAAAGATTCCCTTGTAACTTGCAGGAATCTTAACATGAACCCTCCACGCGCAAGAGCCTCCAAGCCTAGACCCGATCTCCACTTAAGATGATGAACACTGAGAACAGTATGCTCTCACAACCTGGAGCAAAGGAGTAGTGCAACTATTGAGCTAAGTGCACTACACGGCCCCTAAGCTTTAGAAGAACCGAGACGAGCGGCCCAGGTCTCTTGCTGCGCGTTACGCATGTCGACCACCCACTTCTCCTCCGATGAATCGTGGAGACATAACAGTTTTTGTCAGTGTCATAATGAGTCATACTGTCATACGTAGAATGAATGACACTTGCTAGCCCTTCTGACTTATAAGTGGGATTGTGGAAATAGACGAATTGTTCGGCCCGATTTAATCTAGAACTACAAGCCATTACAAGCCTGCAGCCCGAACTGGCATCGTAACGAAGAAAAGCTGTGTCCGCACCGATTGAAATCCATTGATTCAGGAGTTCGGCTGAATGTTGGCAAACCGTCCTGCGAACGATTCTGTCTGCGGATGGCATCTTTGTAGAGCCGGTCGAAAACGCTCATGGGATGCAGCGGCATGCCTCATCAGCGCTTCACAGCCGTCGTAAGCCTTTAGATCTAGGAGCCAGTGCTTCGAAGGCAGGTGGGAAGGCCTTAAAGGGAAACCAAGTGCGCTCGAGGTGTCTCAACTGCAGCTACCACGGCTACTCAGGCGAGTGGTTCCTTAAGGCATCCCATCGAACTCGAAACACATGAAGTTCAATTCGGTATGTCTCTGAAAATCATGGTTCCCTTTTGTCTGCTGCCCACACATATGGTGTGTATATATATATATATATATATATATATATTTATATATTTATGTGTATACACATGTGTGGATACGTATCTTATATACATACATACATATATATATATATATATATGGTACCCCCCCCTAAGATCCATGCATTTTCTCTGTGTTCACCTCTTTCCCCCTCGCGAGCATCTCGTCACGACCATTCTTCCGCTCGCTATCGTCTCCTCATGACGGCACAAGCCCCTCCCTCCACTCACATGTCTCGGTTCATCTCCTCATCACTGCACGAACCGACCACATTGAAACCCAATGCGGCCCACTATTTCAATATGGCTTTCCCGGGGCCCGGCCCATATTGAAATATTGAACCACATTGAATTTCAATATGGCGGATCCAAGATCCAAGATCCAAGATTGCACGGGACTCTTGGGGAGGAACCTTGGATCATGGATCTTGGATCTGCTATATTGAAATTCAACATGGCCTCAATATTTCAATATGGCTCTCCCTGAATCCAAGATTCCTTCCAAGAGTCCGTACAATCTTAGATCTTGGATCTTTGGATCCGTCATATTGAAATTCAATATGGCTTCAATATTTCAATATGGCTTTCCCGGGGCCCGGCCCATACTGAAACATTGAACCACATTGAATTTCAATATGGCGGATCCAAGATCCAAGATTGCATGGGACTCTTGGGGAGGAACCTTGGATCATGGATCTTGGATCTGCTATATTAAAATTCAATATGGCCTCAATATTTCAATATGGCTCTCCCTGAATCCAAGATTCCTTCCAAGAGTCCGTACAATCTTACATCTTGGATCTTTGGATCCGTCATATTGAAATTCAATATGGCCTCAATATTTCAATATGGCTTTCCCTGAATCCAAGATTCCTTCCAGGAGTCCCGTGCAATCTTAGATCTTGGATCTTGGATTCGCCATATTGAAATCAATGTGTTTCAATATTTCAATGTGGTCCTCTGCGCTTCTTGGTTTCTTCACGGCTCCTGTGTCAGTCTGCATGTGCATGTCTGCGGCACCCAAAACGTCAAACAAACCAGTGGCCACCTTGCCCCACTAACCTGCAAAGACTGTTTTTTGGGCTTGTTTGGGACCGTAAAGCACTTTGGCAAAAACAGTTTTTGTTAGTTTCTTGCAAAAACAATCAAAAACAATCTTGTTCGAAGCTAGCCTGAAAGACTGGGCAAGATTGGTTCTTTGTGACAATACAGCGTGTTGGCAAAAACGTTGTTTCTTTGGGACAGTACAGCACTTTTGCAAAAACATAGCTAAAGTGCTATACCCTTTCAAAACGGCAGTCTCTGGGAGGCTTCCAAAGAGAACTTGCTGAGTGACCCGCGCGGTGCAGAATGTCTTCTTGCGCCCTATTCGCGTTCTTATTTACTGGGGACTTCTGCTTTGCCGCCTCGCTGAAAGATGGGTTCATTTTAAAATTCTAGCTCATGGACTCACTCCGAAAAATTGAATCGCCGCAGTACATTGGGGGAAAGTAGTTTGATCACCTGGGGGATCAAACCATGACAAAAGCAACACTGACATCCATTTGTGTTTCAAATTTCTTTTGTAGGTATTTAGGTGAAACTTGGTCTGGTTGTCACGTGAAACTGTACAACACTTACAACCACTACCAAGGTTTGTATTTGTTTTCCAAGAGACGGTAGAGGATTGCACAAGTCCTGATGCAAAAGGATGATAAATGTGATGCTTCTGATTCAGTGTACACTATTAAGTCTGCAGGGTAAATCGAATAGAATAGTGTAAGTGGAAGAGTCTCTTAATGTTGTTCATTAGTCCCACCTAAACAACTGGAAATGAACATATTTTGGCTTTATGAGAGAATGGAAGAATGGCTTAAAGCCTAAAGCATTTTAGCAGGAGTTTTGTTACTAGCATAAGGCTTTTAAGGGCAAGGCGGTAGTAGTAAACCAGGATCAAGGCTAGAGCCGGAACGTTATTAATGTTCATGTTTGGTTACTACTCGTAGTAGTTGACTGTAGTAAGTAGCCGTAGTGGTAGTAGTAGTAGCAGCAGTAGTATTATGACTCTTGTGGTGGTTTGATACAACCATCTTGATGAGACTTGAAGAAGTGGTAGGGATTAATCTAATACGAGGAACCAACATCAACAGTAATGTGGTGAAGATTAAGATTAAGTAGAAACAGTAATCGTAGCACGAGTATTTGCAATAGTAGCATTAGTAGTAGCAGCAGCAGTAGTCGTAGTAACAGTAGCAGTTTCATAGTAGTATTAGTAGTAGTAGCAGTAGTAGTAGTAGTAGTTGTTGTTGTTGTTATAAGTAGCAGTAAATAGTAGTGAGTAGTCGTAAGTAGTAGTAGCTGGAGCATATGCCACGACAAGAAACAGAGCCACGAAACTGGTACTTGTTTTCAAATTTTGAGTACTGCGTTGTGATGCGCATAAACAGTAGGCGCCAAAGAATCGATACAGAATCTAATGGTATTTACAGTGGTTTGGGCTCCTACTGGTAGCTGCAACAACACAGCAATTGCATGGTCGACATTGCTCATGGGAGGGGTTACCATCTCAACGGCAGTAGTAGGAGCAGGCACAGTAGCAGCAGCAGCAGCAGCGGCTGCGCACAGGTCGAAATGCGTGGGTCTGTTGGTATTTAGGGGGGTGGGGGGGGGGAGGGGGGTGGTGGCATATATATATATATATATGCATACATACATTCTATACATGTATAAGGTAGCATTTGTATATATATATATATAAATATATATATACACACACACAAGTTTATATACGCAGGCAGTCGCACAAGGTCTGACATCGTTGGTAGGCTGCATAAGCCGTAAAAGCACGTCAAAGAGCAAAAACAACATGGATCTTTCGGGGAGGGGGTAGCATATATATATATATACATATACATATATACATATATATATATATACCAGTCATGTCATAGATAGGTTTCTGTATCTGTGTCCACAAAAAAAACAGGCTCTGAAATCAACCGTGCCGGCGCTACATCGGGCAATCGATCCCACGGTTGTTAAATTTCAATATTACTGCCTTTAGAGGGGGATAAAAAAAATCTACTGGAATTAAGGTTTTGGCAATGGCTGCAAGCTGAGAAAGAAACCGATCAAGCACATGTGCGCTTCGGAAGACTTTTCTCTTGTTGCTCGCATTTTGGTCGACGACCGGGTCCTCCATTTCAGGAGTAGTGTTCCTCTGCTAACTCTGCTATGCAGAGGCGTCTGGTGTCTGTGTGTCAGCACCACTGTTTGTAGGCTTTTTCAGCAGATTTAAAAAATATTTTTCTTGTTTTTCAAAGTCTTTGTTTCAGCAGTTTTTTTATATTAAAAAAATATTTTTCACATTCTTCATTCCAGCAGATTTTTTTTTATGAAAAACAAATATTTCTTTTATTTTTTCAAAGTCTTTATTTCAGCAGACTTTTTTTTATAAACTTTTTCCAAAAGTTTTCATTCCAGCCGATATTGTTTTTATAAAACTTTTTTTTTTTTTGTTTCAAAATCTTTGTTTCAGCAATTTTTTTGATAATGTTTTTCAAAATCTGTATTTCAGCAAATTTTTTTATAGAAAAAATATTTTTTCAAAATCTGTATTTCAGCAGCTTTTTTTGTAAAAAAAAGTATTCTTTTTACGTTTTTTCAAGTTCTTCGTTCCAGTAGATTTTTTTAATAAACTATTTTTCTTATTTTTTCATCTTTATTTCAGCAGATTTTTTTATACTTTTTAAATTTTTCCCAAATTCTTCATTCCAGCAATTTTTTCATAAAAAAAACATTTTTTATTTTTTGTTTCAAAATCTTTATTTCCGCAGATTTTTTGTTAAAAAAAAAAATTCTGCACAGACCTTTATTTCAGCAAAAAAAACCGTAATTTCAGATGATTTTTTTTATAAAAAAAACTTTTTTTTATTTTTTCTGCACAGACCTTTATTTCAGCAAAAAAACCGTAATTTCAGAGCATTTTTTTTATAAAAAAAATATTTTTTTTTATTTTTTTCTGCACAGACCTTTATTTCAGCAAAAAAACCGTAATTTCAGATGATTTTTTTTATAAAAAAAATCTTTTTTATATTTTTTCTGCACAGACCTTTATTTCAGCAAAAAAACCGTAATTTCAGAGGATTTTTTTTATAAAAAAAATCCTCTGAAATTAAGGCCTTTTTGAAAAATTCACACTCTAAAAACAGTGCCAAAAACCCCAAAACACCTGAAATTCATTCAAAATCTAGAGTGCAGATAGCGAATCAGCACTCTATTTTCTGATACAAATTCAGGTTTTGCAGGTTTTCTGCATCAAGATTTAGAATGTGATTTTTTCAAAAAAGGCCTTAAGTTCAGAGGATTTTTTTTATAAAAAAAAACCTCTGAAATTACGGTTTTTTTGCTGAAATAAAGGTCTGTGCAGAAAAAAATAAAAAAAATATATTTTTATAAAAAAAATCATCTGAAATTACGGTTTTTTTGCTGAAATAAAGGTCTGCGCAGAAAAAAAATATTTTTTTTATAAAAAATCATCTGAAATTACTGTTTTTTGCTGAAATAAAGGTCTGTGCAGAAAAAAATTTAAAAAAAATAAAGATTTTGTTTATAAAAAAATCTGCTGAACTATTTTTTTCAAAAAAAAACCAAGAATGCGTTTATAAACTGATCTGTTGAAACACAGATTTTCGAAAAATAAAAACAAAAAGTATTTAAAATAACTGCCAAAGTAAATGCGCAGCAAAAAAATCTTTCCCTTATAAAATGAATTGCTGGCACTGCTGTAATAAGAAATATCAGAAAAACATGAACATTATTTAAAAAAGGCTGCTAAGGTAAGTTAGAAAGACTATGTAAAATCTGCCAAAGTAAAGATTTCAATAGTTTTAGATTTAACAATAACATTTACCGTGACAAATCTTTCGTGTAAACAAAAAGATGCTTTCTATCAGACAACAAACTGTTTCTTTCACAAAATTCTGCCTCAGGAAATGTCTGCCGATAAAATGTATGTTGTCACATAGAATGACGAGTTTTCTGCTGAAGCATAGTTTTGATTCCGCTATGTTCCTCTGCAGAGAAGATTTCTCCTTATCTTGCAGGCAAGACAAACCGGTTAAGCTTAAGGCAAAGGACTACGGTCCGGCATTCAGCTGTATGTAAAAACAAAGGCGAGCTTTTTTCTGTTTCAAGTCCTTTTTTCTTGACACACAATGAAGTCAGAAGGAATGTGGCAAGGGACTGCGTAGGAAAAATCAAGCACCAGTCGGGATGCTAAATAGCAGCAAGAAAGCATCACCGGGTATTCCAAGCAGAGGTTTATGATAGATCTGGGACAGAGCTACCTACCCGTGAAAGGACTCAACATGGATGATTGCCTTTAGACGTCAGCACTGTCCAACCAGGCACCTCGTACACAAGCAACCTTCGCAAGAAGCTTAATTTCAGCAGATTTTTTTTATGACCTGAATATTGAAATTTAACACCCACGGTCCTTTAGAGTACTCTCCTCATCTCTCCTCCAGTGCAGCTCGAGCACCAGCTTCGGCCAGGGCTTCGTCGAGGATGCCTTTAGGACGCTGGGTTTAGTCGGGTTTCAAATTGCTGAAGGGATGTATCGGCTACTGCAGTGTTCATTACTAGCTACTAGCCGTTTAGAGTCTGCATCGGCCCAGCTCTGCCTCTAGGCCTCTTGGTGCGACGACAAGTCGAGAGAACCCCAACCCCCACCACCCCAGATGCATGCAACTCGCAACTCGCCACACTGTAGAGGCTTTGCTGCACCATGCTGCACCGCACCACTATCCAACCGTGCATTTCAAGGCAGGCGAGTCACTGACATCCACGCCCTTCTCCTGCAGCCGCCTCTTGAAGTCCTGGAAGGGATCAGGCTCCGGCCGGCAGGGCCTCGGCCTCCGAAACGAACCTTGTCCTTCTTTCTGCACTGCACTGTCGGGTGTGCAAAGTCGAAAGGACCCACAACAACAACCACAACGACAGGCATAACTGCATCGCGCCACCACCATAACCGCCACCTCCACCACAGCACGAGAGCAACGACAGTAATGACCACAGCAATAGCGAAAAGCCACAGCAGCAACACACGCCCCCACAACAACAGCCACGACAACGACAATGGCGATTCCTTGCGGTCTTCGGTTGCATTGCTGGTGAGAGTGTTGCCAAAGCCATGCCAATAACCGGGTGTGAGGACATGCGTTGGCCCACCTCGAACTTCCTCCGCAGCTCTTCCATGGCCTTTGTTGGGCGCCGGGCACAAAGCATTCGTCTAACTAAAGATGGGAATGGAGCCTTGGAAGGTCGGGGGAGTCCTGGGCTCTGACCCAAGATATCACAGAAAAAGGTTGAAGAAGATATCTCAGATATCTCTTGCTTGGCTGAATTTCCGAGTTCTCGAAATCCCAACCCCAGCCCGAATCACTCTTCAGGTGTTGTCATGCAACAAACCGCTGTCTGGATTATTGAGTTGTACAGGTTGCAGAATACAGCGCTTCTCTTGGTCGTAAAGGTCACGATGCTCAGGGCCATGCTACCGGCCACAGCCGTCAAAATGATTACACGGCTTTCGTGACCACAGCGACCATCTGATGCCTACACCCCCTGCCTGCTCCAGCGCCTTCCGCATGATCTTGGCCTCCTCTAGTTGTTCCTTGAGGACGCCGTTCTCCTGCAAGAGGCCCAGGCTTCAGGGTCCGGCTTCTTGGTCTGACTGAAGGGTTTCGGAATTCTGAGCTTGGGCTTTCGGTCCTCTGATTTGCCTTGACGATACGATAAGATGACGAGAGGGAAGTCTCAGGCGTTAGGCATGGATCGGGAGCCCAGCCAGCTGCCACAAAGGCGCCAGATCTGCCCCCAAGAGGATGGTGCAATGGCTCTCCAAGGTTTGGGTACTGCTTCTATCTCGCGAACTGAGAAGCTTTGTCCGACGGCTCATGCGGGGAAAAAGAACGAGGCGGCGCGGAGGGAGATGATGCGGAAGCAAAATAGGTGGCTGGCACGTTGGGACGGGGCAGGCCGTGGTTTGAGCACCGTAACGATGATACTTCGAATAAACTTTAAAACAGTTCAAAACCCAAGCTGCAAGTCCCAGCCTTCTTGAGCGAGTCGTTCTCCTCGCGGGCTCCTTTCAGCGTTTGCCTCGGAGCCGAGACATTATCGTGCCACAATCCTGCATTCCGGCACTTCGAAGCCATGAAGCTGAAACTCGAATAAAAGCAATGATCCCGCTTCTTGTTGAGGGGACGTACTTGCTGTCGCACCCGAGATAACTGACACGATAAAACCCTGCCCTCCCTCGGCTGACAGGACAGGCTGCTCCAGCTTCCGCACGCGATTGTTGGCCTGAGCGAGCCCATCGGCGTCCCCATTCGCCCCTGTCAGCCGGGATTCGTGGACTCCAGGGCTCGGGGCTTGAGGCCTGAAAGGGGTGGTACCAATAGTAAAGTAGTAGTTCAGTACAGTAAGGCTTCTTTGCCCTTCGTTTTAACTTCTCTCTGTCATGGACTCTGTCTCCTACCCTTGTCGTTGCTGCTGCTTCTGCTGCGGCGGCTGCCGCCGCCGTTGTTGTCGCCTCGTCTTTGCGGCTTGTGCCTATGCGTATGCGTTTCATGTTTCCTGTTATCACTGCTTCGTATCACTCTCACTTCATATCATTGGGTTCAAACATGCCAGACTCTGCCTCGGTTTCGGTGCAATTCAAGCTTCAGGCAACTCCGGAACAAGTTCACGACTCCCGCGAGCAAGCAGGCAGGTGGTTAGGGGTGCCTCACCTGTTGGGTTTCAGATCCCGGCCAGAAACAAGGCACACAAAACGACTTCTGCACCGACCAATCCGTCTCACAGGCAGCTCGAGGCGTGTGGCATTGTGTGGCCCCAAACCATCAATGACTTATCCCATCCGCATCCCGAAGCTGAACTCTGCGCCCGCCACAACCTGAGAACGCCCAAACCCCAGAAGCTCAAACCCAAGGCTCGAGAACCTCGAACTTCATCCCCAAAGGAGAGGGCCTGCTTCTGCAGCAGCCTCAACAGCCGCCTCCAGGGCCGCACTGCGACCTTTTCTCCGACACTTGCTTGGGCTCCGAAACCTCTGAGCCTCTGAGGTTCTCCTTTGCTGTATTCGGATCCCTTGCACCCACGTCTCGGCCGTGTGGAGTCGGCCCATTTCGGCCCCGCTCGATGTGGACAAGCGAAGGCTCTGGAGCGGCCGGGGCCTTCACTCCTTCTCTGCACTTGTTCTGGGACCAAATCGCTGAGTCACAGGCGTCGCTCGCCGTCCAGGTCCTGCCATGTGTCACGGCCTAGGCCTGGACGTGAAAGTCTGAGGTGGTGTCTTGGCCTTCCGCAGTCTTGGGATCTGCTGCACGAGACAAGAAGCAAGTGCAGATTCCACGTCACGTGTTCCTGTCCTTGCTGTCCCCCTTTCCTACTTCCTACTTGTTGCTTAGCTGCACGTTTGATGGCACCAGCACCAACTCTCCTTCTTGGCCCGCTCGAGCTCCTTGCGCATCAGCTCCACCTGGCCCATGAGGTCCGTGGATTGCCTCCTTTCAGGGGTCAGGAGCTGAGCGAGCGGATTCAGCAACTTGGGCCAAAGAGCCACTGTTAGGCTCTGATGCTGGACTTCGTGGACTTCCAGGGTCGCTTGAGCGGGTGGAGCTGAAGCCACTCGCGGCTTGAGTACTCATGGACTCATGGGACGAAGAACTGCGATCTGAATGGCAGCCCTTGGGTGCTCTCCTCGCGGCATCCGCCGCCTGTCAGCTAACACACCGAAGCGGAGGATATGGAGGCTTTCGTGTCATGCAAAAGCTGCAGACCCGGTAAGAAAACATACTATACTGTGCTAGCTCTTCCGTCTCTTCCAGAGCAAGTGACACACTCAGCTGGCCTTCGTGGTCTCTTGGACTTCGGCGACTTTCTCCGTGAGCTGCTTCTTGAGCGCTGCAAGCTCTGCCTCCTGGAGCTTGTGACGCACACTCCCTGAGAAAATTTGAGAAGCTGCTACTAGTAGCTGCCAGGCAGACACAGCTTGAGGTCGTAGACCCTGTTCTTGCCCCCCCCCTCCGAAATTTCAAGATGATCGACAATCCTGTCTGAAGACTTCGATTCGATAGAGAATCTGATCCTTGAACCTGCATGGTGCATAAAAGTTCAAGCCCGTCCAGCGCTTCGTTCTGCTTCATCAAATCCTTCACAGCCTGGTCGCAAGCGGCGACAATCGACAATCGAAAAGATGGTGAATCGCAAGAAGTCAACAGCAACTGCTCGTCGGGAGTGGGATGGGTTGTTGGGGGGAGTGCTTCCAGCAACGCTCTCAGCAAGCTGAGCTCTGGGCGCTGTCACCCTTGCCCGCTGCTTCGACCTGCTTCTTCAACATGGCCAGCTGCCTGTGCAGGGGCCGTGTCTTGGACAAGCCCTCTGGAATGATGCCTAAAGTCGCCATCATTTACCGCAGCAGGGCTGTTCTGTCCGAGTATGGTTCAGGCACAAGTTTGCTGGGGCCTTCTAGAAAACATAAAAACCGAGGTACAGCGAGAGTGCATGGCCAAACTTGAAAAAGGCCAGTTTGACAAGTGCGTGGCTGGGCATCTTGTTTCGCGTCCGGCTGCCCGGACTCGTACACCGGTGGTGGAAGAGAACAGAAGCGGCTCGTGGTCCAGGTACTCAGATGGGGGGCATGGCTCAACATCCTCTGCAAGACCGGCGCCTTCTGTCGCTGCTTCATCCACGTCCATTCAACCCACATCCCCCGGATCCCCCGGACCTCTTTAGCGCTTCGTTTTCTTCGCTGGCGGCATCTCCTGCAGTCGAGCCAAAGCCCCGCCGCCCAAGGGTTCTCCAAACCTCCAACCGGCTGCCCTTTGGTCTTAGTCTTCCCACGCCTACCCCTCACTACTACGGATACCGCTACTGCTTCGACTTGAAAGGGTCCAAACGCGGCCTTTCGAGGGCATGTTCTTCGTGGCCAGCTGCTGCCTTGGAACTCCGCAAGACTCGCCGATGCGCCAGTGCAGCTCTGACAGGAAGACTCGGCTCATAAGGGCCTTAATAATTACATATTATACTATAGATAATAGTTGGGAACCCCAAAGATGTGGAGTTTCGCGAATGAAAGCTTATCCCGAGCCACGACTCGGCACCCATCCCAGCACTCTCTTCCTGCAGCTGAGGTGCTTCAGTTTCTCTATCTCTGCCTGCAGGTCCTTGGCACCGCGCTGAAGACGTTCAATGAGTTCAATGTCTCTTACGTGCGCAAGACCCACATGTCCGCTCGAATACGCACAGAAGCGAATCTTGATCGCTACCGCAGGGCGTCTGCGACCAGCGCTAACAACCGCAGCAACTACCGAAAGTGACAGACTACTAGCCTACGATCGGAACTGCCAGGGGCCACACAGAAACTTGGCTTTGGAGCTTTCGGCAGGCTTCTTCATGGTTCTTCTTCTTGAACCTCACGCCATGCGATCACAATGTTCCAATTTGCTTATGACTTTCGCTCGCCAAGATTTCAGTGAGAGTAGTCAAATCAAAGTGGGAGGCACTGGAATTCCCCAAGCCGACCACCACCACCAGTGCTAAGACTGATACTGCTGGCAAGAGTCATACTGTCATGCTGATAGCAACACTACTACTAGTAACTAGTAACACGACCGATACGAAGAAGGCGAACAGAAAATCGCCGAGTTCTGCGCTCTGCCAGCTCGTCTTCCAAAGTTTTTGACTGCTTTAGAAGGGCTTTGTTCTTCTCGCGCAGCTTCTCCACCTTCAGGGTTTCGGATTGGTGATGAACCTCAAATTCAAGCTTCAAACATTGCAAAAGCCCGCGAATCATCATATCATATATGTATCATCATATTATATAGGTCCTACAAGAAATCCCTTTGGAGCACATCGGATTCAAAGTCGCATACCCATTTCGGTTGGGGCGGGTGTAGAGCCAGCAACCAGTTTCGAGTGCCCCAATCTGGAAGCTCGCAACCCATGATGCAAACATGACTCTGGTACAGAGCAGGCATTGCACTCAAGCACTGCCTGCGACATCAAAAAACACTGCTTGGGATTCACCGACCGTTCTTTGGCGTCTGCTTGCATCTGCGCACGAGACCGGATTGCACTGAAGTGTCAGGCTCGACGCCTCTCCGGCCCAGTCGTCCCCAGGAGAGTTCAGCGACTCCCAGAGCTTCCTCCAAACGAAATCTGCTTAGAAGAAGACTATCTCGGGCTCAATTCCGGGCCTCAGCCAGGCTTAGCTTCGGAGCCCATTATGTACGTCTTGTGCGCGTGCCTTCGCGCACTCTTGCACAACTCCTGGTTGAAACAAACACGATGTCGTCTCAAAGGACAACCCAACACATAGTACACACTCGTGCACTTCAGAGAGAGCTCTCCGTTGCGCATCCTGAACCCCCAGCAACCGGTGCCATCACTGAAATCTCAAGAACCGGAATTCCTCTTGGCCCTTCCCTCTTCCCTCTTCCCTGTCCTGGCGTCGTCGAGAGTGGCGCTAGGCTCAAGTCCGAAGACCTCTTCGAGTCTCGGAGAGAAAAGGGCTGCCAGCAGGTTCTACTCATTTCTTCCTCCCAGCCTCTGCTCCTAAAGCTACCCGATCTATCTATGCTACTAGTACCAGGTTTTGTGAGGTTCGGAGCAAAACAAGCCGACCCTGTCGGAGGACGCCTGGAGGATGGCCTTCTGCCTCTCGCTGTCCTGCTTCCCTGCCTCGAACCTTGGCACCGGCGAGGGCGAGCGCCGGCGACATCGTGAGTTTTAGCAGCACGAGGGCCGGGCTCGGCCCGCAAAGCATCCAGTTCCGCTTGAAGCCTTTTCACCTGATGCAACTTTCTGGGGGGACCAGGAAGTGCGAAGTTTCGGGCGCAGCATCTTGGTGCTGTGGTGTTACGGACTTTTCCACCTGCACTGGCAGGCGAGCTTCCCTTCACAAGGCTCCAGGGATTCTTGCAAGATACACGGATTTCCGAGAGCTTGAAAGCAAAGCCCAACACGATCAACAAATAGGAACTGCACATCCACCGAAACAGACCCCTGCTCCGTGCTCGAAAGGATCCTTTGCATTGGAACTCCAAAGACTACAGCGGCAAAGACAAAGACCATAAACACGGACTCAAGTCAACCAATCTGCAACCAGACACGAAAAGAGCCTGAAACTCTCAAGTAGTAGCGAACTTGACCCAAACCCTGGAGCCCGAAAGACTGCATGCGTTGTCGACCCTATGGAAACACTTCCCGATCCTGCCTGTTCTTGAGAGGACGTGTCCACCACGGACACCTTCCTTGCAACTAAGCCGGGTCGTAATGAGACTGTGTTCTTCATTCGCGCTCAAGATACGCAGTACTCACGCTGTCCCAGCCTGATTTGGATTTAGCCCTGAAAAACTACGTCGCAGTACGTCTCCGTCTAATCATGTCGTGCCTTGTCTAGCCTGGCCCAAACGCATCTAGCCGTTGGAGGACCCTGGTGATGAAATTCAGGTGATTGCGCTTGAACACTATACCATTCAGCACGGTGCGGGGGACGAGGGTCCAGGTTCGGGGACTTTGTTTTGCTGGTGAATACTAAGTCACTAAGTCGCTTCGTCAGAGTGGATGCTCAATCCAGTGGCCTCGGTGGTGGAGGGCGCTTTTCGATGCCTTCGCTGAGCTTCGCTTGGAGCAAGGCATCTTCCTTGGCGGCAGTCTTGTTCCACCGTTTCGGGGGCCTCAACTAAGGATGGCACCTGCGATCTCGGATGCTCCGGGGGCGGGACAAGCTGCTCTCGAAGCTTCTCCAGCCTGAGTTGTGCTCACTGATCAGTCTGAAAACTTCGGACACATCCTTCTTATCCCTCTGTTTGCCGGCACGTGACACCCGGAAGAATTGATGCCGGAACCCGATATCCTACGGCTTTCAGGTCATAGAGTCTGCCGTAGGCGCCCGAACCCCTCGTAGGACTCTCAACTCTGCCACGACTTCAAAGCTGAGCTTGCTGGCTCGCTCTGTGCATCCGTCAGCTGGCTCATGAGCAGCTGTCTGGCCACGGCAAGGAGAACGTTAGGGAATGGCTTTCTGCCTCTTCTTGGCCTACGGCTGTTGCAAATCAACAAACATCTATCGACATGTTTCGGACGATGAAACGTATTGGACTTCGACGTGCGCGTGCGGTGGCTCTAACATTCCCAGCAACACAACGGTCAAGTCGCATCGTCTCACCAGCAGCTGCAGCGCCTCATCAAGCTGGCAGAACTGCTCTTTACACTTGGATCAGTCTCTTCCGGTAGAACGGTAGAACAACCATCCTCTACCATCTTAATTCTTAATGTCTGGCCTCAAGGGCAGGGCAGCTTTCACACGTTTATGAATCATATCAAATGCACCAAGCAAATCTCATGCTCGAAGCTTGCTCTGGACACATCTGGGCGACCGGCCCTTTGTTAGCGCGATCTTCATGTTTTCTTGCATGGCCGCCTTCCGTGAAGCTAAGTTTAAATTTCGAAGACATTAAAACCCAGCTCATGCGGAAAGACCCA